TGTTTAAATCATACTCAGATTATACTTTATAGTTTTTTGAAATTAGAGAGTAATAGTTTTGACAAATTAATTAATTAGTTGAGAAGATGTAGGAATGTTATAATATTAGATTTTGAAATTGGTCACATAATTTATATTTTCTTTCTTGATTGAATTTGCAGATTCTAACTTTAAAAATTCTAGAAAAAGTTTTTGAATGTCTATAATACGTGGTCGCTAGATACTAGAAAGTGGAACTAGACAATAAGTGCGATCGATTTCTTTACAATTAAATAAAATCCTCTATGACCAGATAAAATTTACCATTTTATGTTGATGAATTCAAGATTTATTTATTATTATTAATGATAGTCTTTTAGATATTGGTGCTTACATCATTAATATTTTAAAAGTAGAATTCCAAATCATTAAATTGCTCTTAGATCATTAATAATTTAAGACTTTAAACCTCACTAATTATGTGGAAGGTAAAGTGTTGAAACCAACAAGATTTTATATATTAAAATATCTGAAACTTTTTAATATATTATGATAATTATAAACTTTTTTACAACTATATTATAGTAAATACATAAACTAAAAATCGACAATTATAATATTTAATCACGTGCATTCCACCTAGTATATATATATCCACGCGCACACATATACAAACACACTATGGAGAAAGTATATTTACTACAAATAATTGGTCCGTTCCAACAAATATGCAAGAAAAGGTCTTACTTGAGAATGTTTCTTGTGTGTATACTTCTTGTTGGTGGTTTGGTGATTTTGACTCTCGTCATGATATCGAGGTCTATTTTCTACATTTAATTATTTTCTCCTTAATGAAGTAAAGATGGACATAATTTCATCTTCAATAAGTTCTACTTTAGAAAAAGGACTACAAAAGAACAATTGTTTGAAACTCTTACATAGGCCAAAGGCCTATGATGTATATTTATAGATAGTCAATGTGAATAGGTTGAGTACCCAAGAGTCACCCCCACTTAATGGGGTGTTACACCATCATAATGGGGTGTGAATGGAGGGATAATGAGGGGGAGGCCAAAGGCCTCCCTCATCTCATAATACTCCCCCTTATCCATCCATTACCTTGGGTTTAGCTTATGAACACTTCAGAGTTCGTAAAGCTAATGGGGTGGATACTTCTGGATCCAGAGTAAACTTGTTTGCCTCGTTAAAACCTTAGCTGTGGAAAACCCAGTGGGAAAAAACCATCAGCCTAAGGAAAAAGAGTACAACCCATAGGTTACTCCCCCTGAACCATACAAGCTTCAGGCTTGTAGGTCTTTCAGATGTCTCATCCCTATTCCTTTTACAAGTTTTACAAAAGTACATCTAGGCAGAGCCTTAGTGAACAAGTCAGCTAAATTATTACATGATTGGATCTGCTGTACTTTAACTTGCTCCTCCTCTTGAAGATCGTGTGTCCAGAAAAACTTGGGAGATATGTGCTTCGTCTTGTCACCCTTGATGAAGCCAGACTGAAGTTGAGCAACACAGGCTGCATTGTCTTCAAATATAGTAGTTGGCTCAAGGTCACCATTCTTCAGGCCGGTAGACACTAAGATGTGCTGAATGACAGAACGAAGCCAAACACATTCTTTGCTGGTTTCATGGATCGCGAGGAGTTCGGAATGGTTGGATGAGATTGCTACAGTGGTTTGCTTGACAGACCTCCAGGAGATGGCCGTACCACCGAATGTAAACACAAATCCGGTTTGTGATTTCTCGGTGTGGGGATCAGACCTGTAACCTGCATCTGAATAACCAATTAAGGTGGGAGACCCACCCTTCGGGAAATATAACCCCAGGTCTATGGACCCTTGGAGGTAGCGCAGAAGATTCTTAACTCCATTCCAGTGGCGCTTTGTGGGCGCTGCACTGTATCTGGCTAGTAGGTTAACTGAAAACGCTATATCGGGACGCGTACAGTTAGCCAGATATAATAGTGCTCCAATGGCACTGAGGTAAGGTACTTCAGGACCTAGCATTTCCTCCCCCTCTTCCAGCGGACGGAAGGGGTCGTTCTTTACATCCAATGATCGAACAACCATTGGTGTACTAAGAGGATGACATTTATCCATTCGGAAATTTTTAAGTAATTTCCGTGTATATGTGGATTGGTGTAACAGGATACCACCCTTAAGGTGTTCGATCTGTAAGCCAAGACAATACTTTGTTTTGCCTAGGTCTTTCATTTCAAAAGTATTCTTAAGGCTTTCAGATATCCCAGCGATCTCTGCAGGAGATCCAATGAGATTTAAGTCGTCGACATAGACGGCGACTATAATGAATCTTGTTCCCGATCTTTTTATAAAGATACACGGGCAGACTTTATCATTTGTGAATCCTTGCGTAGCAAGGAACTCACTTAGTCTGTTATACCACATTTTCCCCGATTGCTTAAGAGCATATAATGATCTTTGAAGCCTAACAGAATAGACGTCTCGAGGTCTATCTGCTATCTCTGGTGGAATTTTATATCCTTCAGGGAGTTTCATATAGATATCTTTATCTATATTGCCATATAGATATGCAGTCACAACGTCCATGAGCTGCATTTCTAGGCCTTCCAGAGATGAGAGGCTTATTAGGAATCGGAAGGTATTCCCATCCATAACCGGAGAATATGTTTTTTCATAGTCTATTCCCGGTCTTTGGGAAAAACCTTGTGCTACAAGCCGTGCTTTGTAGCGCACAACCTCGTTGTGTTCATTGTTTCCCCATCCATAACCGGAGAATATGTTTTTTCATAGTCTATTCCCGGTCTTTGGGAAAAACCTTGTGCTACAAGCCGTGCTTTGTAGCGCACAACCTCGTTGTGTTCATTTCTTTTTCTGATGAAGACCCACTTATATCCCACAGGTTTTACACCTTCAGGTGTTTGGACTACTGGTCCAAAGACTTCGCGTTTCAAGAGTGAGTCCAGCTCTACTCCTATTGCCTCGTTCCACTTTGGCTAATCGTCTCTGCGTTTACATTCCGCTAGAGACCGTGGTTCGATGTCATCGTCGTATTCAGTGACGTGAACGGCAATATCGAACGCAAAGTCGTCGTCGACGACTGTGCTTTTTCTGTCCAGTACCTCCTCAGTACGTACAAAATTTAATGATGTTTCTCCTATTTGTTCCTCTTCAGGGGAATCTAGGAGGGGAGAGGAAGCTGGTCTGAGCTCAGTATCCTGTGTTGGGTTCATTTTTATTTCTCCAGGATTTTTTCTTTTACGAGGGATTTTGTCCTTCGAACCTGGTGGGCGTCCTCTTTTCAATTGAGGTACAGCCATTTCTGCTGCCGGCGGATTGCATCCATCTTTGGGGATGTCAATCCTAGCTGGCGTGTTGACAGCAGGGACGTGTGATCTGACAATCTTCTGGTTATCAGTGAATTTATCCGGAAGTAAATGTACTGTATTCTGAAGATGAAGAATCTTCAGGATCTCATCTTCACATTGACTAGTACGCGGATCATAATGAGACAAAGTCTTGGTGTTCCAAGAAATGGTCTTAGAAGCGTCAGGCTTCCTGGACTGTGTGCCAAGTTTAGGAAATGAATCCTCAACAAATTCACAATCATCAAGACGTGCTTTAAATGCGTCACCCGTCTGGGGTTCAAGGTATCTTATTATAGAGGGCGAATCAAACCCTATATAGATACCCAAACGACGCTGTGGACCCATTTTGGTCCTTTGTGGAGGAGCAATTGGGACGTAAACTGCACAACCAAACACTCTCAAATGTGAGATATTCGGAGGTGCACCATAAGCAAGCTGCATTGGTGACAAAATATGGCCACCAGAGGGCCGTATTCTGATAAGCGATGCGGCATGCAATATGGCATGACCCCAAGCCTCAACAGGCAACTGTGATTGCATCAACAATGGACGAGCAATCCATTGCAATCTCTTAATTAGAGATTCTGCTAACCCGTTCTGGGTGTGAACACGTGCTACAGGATGTTCAACTTCGATGCCAGTTGCTAGGCAATAGTCTTGAAAGACTTGTGAAGTGAATTCTCCCGCATTATCAAGACGTAATTTCTTGATTTGATTATCGGGGAAATGAGCCCGCAACTTAATAATTTGTGCCAATAGCTTTGAAAAAGCTAAGTTGCGGGTGGACAAAAGGCACACGTAAGACCACTTGGTTGATGCATCTATAAGTACCATAAAGTACCTAAATGGTCCACTTGCGGGGTGAATAGGCCCACAAATATCGCCATGTATTCTCTCCAAGAAGCTAGGAGACTCTAATCCCACTTTCAGAAGGGAAGGTCTCGTGATCAGTTTACCTTAGAAACAAGATAGACATGAGTAATCACCCTTCTGAAGAATCTTCAGGTTCTTCAGGTTGTGTCCACTTGATTGGCTCATGATGCGGTGCATCATTGCTGATCCTGGGTGACCCAGTCTGTTATGCCAAAGTTTAAATTTCGGCAAAGAATGGCACTTCTGGTGCATAATCATGTTAGCTTCTACTGGTTGAATATATGTATGATAGAGACCCGACGGGAGTCCCTTGAATCGTTCTAAGATAGTTTTTGAACCATCTTTTTGACGAGTTACATACAAATACTCATCCTCATTTATTTCATTGGTTTCTAAGTGATATCCGTTTAAACGAATATCCTTGAAACTTATGAGGTTTCTATTAGATTTCGGAGAGAATAATGCATCTTTTATTATTAGTCTCGTTTTATTTGGGAGCAATATCATTGCTTCACCAAATCCTTCTATTATATTAGATAGTCCTGAAATCGTAATTACAGGATCGTCATAATCATATAAGCTATTGAAATAGCTTCTTTCGCGAAGGATTGTGTGCGTCGAGGCACTGTCCACAAGGCACTCACACTTCATCTATAACATGAATGCAATATTTTAATCTAAAGAAAATAACTATCTTTATTGAAAAGTAAATTGCATTACATGGAAAGTAAAGAACTAAAGATGAAAGTACTATGAGAATTTAAATGCATATAAAGATAACATGGATCTAGTCGAGAAGATCATCCATTTCGAAGTCATCAGCAGTGAACTGAGTAGACGGCTGCTTTTCCACCAGATTTGTTTCAACAGGAGACTTCTGGCTCGCTAGATACAGATCTTGGAGGTGTCGCGGAGTGCGACAGTTTCTGGACCAATGTCCAGTCATGCCACATATGTGGCATTTGTCCTCCCAAGTGTTCTTGGGAATGGACGACAGCTCAGTAGTCTTCTTCTTCCACTTCTTCTTTCCCTCACTATTGCTGCTCTGGGGCGGGTTGTTTTTCTGGGGTGGACATCTGGCCTGCCACTTAGGGGCTTTCCCCTTGTTGAATTTACCTTTATGCTTTTTCTTCTGCTTCTGGGAAGAAAACATGTGAGCTTCGGGTAGAGGAGCTGAGCCTGCAGGGCGTAGGTTATGAGTGGCCAAAAGCAATTCTCTGTTTTGCTCCGCCATCAGAAGGGTGGAGTGCAATTCAGAATACTTTTTGAACTTTCGTTCGCGGTACTGTTGCATGAGGATTGCATCCTTCTCGTGGAAGGATGTGTAAGTCTTCTCCAACATGCGTTCCTCCGAAACTTCTTCACCACACAACTTCAGGCGTGAGGTGATATTATGAAGTGCTGAGTTATACTCAGCTACGGACTTAAAGTCCTGAAGTCGGAGGTTTTCCCACTCATAACGTGCACGTGGGAGGATCACATCTTTCTGATGTTTGTATCGGTCCTCAAGTGCAGTCCACAATTCCTTTGGGTCCTCTACAGTCAGGTATTCGGCCTTCAGGGTCCGATCAATATGTCTCCTGATGTAGATAATGGCTTTCGCCTTATCTATATCAGAGACGATCACTGTAGTAGCAACCTCAGCATTATTTACAGCATTACCCGTAACAGTGACCTGAGCCGATGGAGCAGGAGTTGAAATTGTGGCTAATAAGCCCTGGGCACGTAAGTGGAACTTCAGGTCCACATGCCAGCTCAAATAATTCTTGCCAGCAGCGTCAAGGACTTTGAAATCAACGCTCGCTATTTTAGCCATTTTATCTATGCATTTGAAAGACATGAATTAATAATAAGGAATTAAAAATTCATGCAATAAACATGTTGCGTGGATCAGCCCGTCACCAAAAAATAAAAAGTGTCCAAAGTCCGATTATACAGTCCAAAGATAACAAAAAACATAAAATTAAAATACAATTTGGAAAACCCTTGGGGGTCCCTGCATTTTGCAAAAATGCCTTCGTCTTCAATGGAATACACCGGTCTTTGACTTTTTACAATTATATCCTCACTACAATTTCTCTCTCAGAAGGAAAAGAAAATGCAAGGAATTTAAATTTGGTGACAAACAGGCTGATCCAAAAACCACAACATTATTTATTTAAACATCCACGCAATTTAATAATAATATATGCAACAGGCATAACAAATTTGGACAGTAAACCCTTGCTTTCTTTAAATTTTTTTTAAACTTCTTGTTGTTTCTATGCGATACTGCCTACTTAATACTTTTAATATCATGTAGAAATTGTGAGTTTGAACTTGAAAATAACAAGTGATGATTAAAAAAATAATGCAAGTGCCCTGAATGGAAACTCTGAAACAACCAAGGGTTTAGCATTCCATTAGAAAAATGTATATGTGTTTAAAGAATAGCATTAAAAACTATAGGGGCCAAATATGATTTTATGTCATGTTAACTGGACATATACAATAATACCTTGGTGTTGGTGTTACTGTTTTCTTCTCAAGAATATGTAATTTAAGAGCATTTCCCTAGCAATGGTCACTTCCGTTAATACTAAGCAAAAACCAAATAATATTCATGGTAATAGGAAGTGCTATCAGCGTAAATGTGCAAATTTAACACAATATATGAATTTTTACAAACTAGCAGAAGCCGCAGAACTTCTCGCCAGTTTCATCAACATGAGCACATAAATTTTTTTTTTGATTAGCAGGCCAAAGGCCTATGATGTATATTTATAGATAGTCAATGTGAATAGGTTGAGTACCCAAGAGTCACCCCCACTTAATGGGGTGTTACACCATCATAATGGAGTGTGAATGGAGGGATAATGAGGGGGAGGCCAAAGGCCTCCCTCATCTCATAATAACAATTAAGTTGATTCACTACCTACAAAACTATGGTAAACAGAATCCAAGTGATGTTCATGATGCATTTTAAGCTTCACTTTTGGACCACATTAGGCAATGATGGGGCTGATATGCACGCAACTAATATAAATCGAAACAGATGGATTATTTAAATGACACTAGTCACAAATATATAAATATAGTATATGAGAACAATCACTCCAAGATATCCTAGACATGCAATAATTTAATATATCCTTCTCATGATCCGTGTGAAGAACAGAAACAAAGGTTTGTGAAAGAAGAGGATAATAATCTCTTTCGGCAATTTGCAATTTGAAAGGATCCTTTTACACACCAACCTCCACATTCTATAATTTCTCAATTTAAAAGCTAGATCCTTAAAGACCCAAAAGTCCATTACATGTCATATTGGGCGTAGAGTCACGCTCTCACGCCGCGGAAGCGATATCACCTGAGAGAGAGCCCTGACTTTCGTTTTCGCAAAAACACAAGTCAACCTTTATATTCTTGTTTCTCAAAGGAAACTAGAATAGAAGGTGAAATACTCAATAAAGTGAGGTATACACTCTTCTTCTCAACAGTTCTAGGACTGAATGTCGAGGGAACCAACAAGCAATAGTCAACTCTTGTTCCAGCTCAACCTCTCATCAGTTCTAGGACTGACTTGTCGAGGGAACCTACAAGCAATACCAACTCATAGTAAAAGGCGAGACAACAGATTTACGTGGTTCGACAAACTTGCCTACGTCCATGGGAGGAGGGGTTCACTATGAAGAAAATACTAAACTTATACAAGCTCTCTTTTCCTCACTCTTCTCTTTTCCTCCACTCTAGATTTTTCCCCACACCCCACCTCTCTTCACTACCTCTCCTATTTATAGGAGAAGAGGGATGTGTGCCTTGCTGGAACCAGCTCACCAAGGAGAGCACGGAAGGGCTATAGGGGGGCTGTGAGCATGGGAGCAATGTACTTGTGTCCTCCCATGCTTGTTTCCACTCACAACATGGGCCACTCACCTCACAATTCTCCACCTCATTCATCATTTGATAAACCTCAAATTTTGGACGATCACCAGAAGAACCCTACGAGCATCACCAGAGAGTTCTATAATTATTCACCAGGCCAAACCAGGGGGCTGTGAGCATGGGAGCAATGTACTTGTGTCCTCCCATGCTTGTTTCCACTCACAACATGGGCCACTCACCTCACAATTCTCCACCTCATTCATCATTTGATAAACCTCAAATTTTGGACGATCACCAGAAGAACCCTACGAGCATCACCAGAGAGTTCTATAATTATTCACCAGGCCAAACCAGCTACGCCACTGAACCGCGGCTGCCTACGTACCCTCAACCGAAATCAAGCTAACCGTAGTTCTACAACTATTCACCAACATAGTCTCCACCACACCCCATTACCGCCCCGCAGGGCCATGCCCTCACGGAAAAATCAACACGGGCTGATATGAAGCAAGTCCAAGCAATATTGGAACTTGCTGCCTGCCACCATCTTGGTTAATATGTCTGCGAGATTATCATTCGTGTGCACCTTCATGAGAGAAATATCACCTTCCTCTATGACATCCCGCACAAAATGATATCTGACGTCGATATGCTTGGTACGAGCATGGTGAACTTGATTCTTCGCTAAGTGAATCACACTTTGACTGTCACACCACAAGTTCACGCTCTCCTGCTCAATCCCCAAATCGTCTAGAAGACCCCACAGCCACAATGCTTCTTTAACTCCCTCCGCCATGGCCATGTACTCGGTCTCTATAGTAGAAAGTGCCACTATAGCCTGTAACATCGATCGCCAACTAACTGGAGCCCTATGTATCCTGAATACATAACTAGTAGTAGATCACCGTCTACCTAGACCGCCCACATAATCTGAGTCCACAAACCCATCGATCTGACATGTATCTCCACCAAAACACAGACCTGTATCTGCAGTACCTTTTAAGTACCTCAGGACCCATTTCACCGCTTCCCAGTGCACCTTTCCCGGATTCACCATGAATCTGCTGCCAACACTAACCGCCTGTGAAATATCAGGGCGTGTAAACACCATTGCATACATTAAGCTGCCAACTGCACTAGCATAAGGGACACGCTCCGTGTGTGTCTTATCTTTCGCTGTAGTGTGGGAGATTGTTTACCAGAGAGCCTAAAATGTGGAGCCAATGGAGTCACCACCGGCTTAGCACTTTGCATTCCGAACCTTACGATTACCCGCTCAATGTAGCCCTTCTGGCTCAAGAACAATCGCCGATTCGCCCGCTCTCTTTTAATCTCCATACCCAGTATTTTCCTTGCAGCGCCCATGTCCTTCATCTCAAACTCTTTACCAAGTTAAGATTTCAGCCTATCTATCTCTACCTTGCTCTTAGAAGTAATAAATATGTCATCCACATACAAAATGAGATAGATATAATCACCTCCACGAAGCTTCCGAATATGGACACAACAGTCATAATCGCTTCTGGAGAATCCATGCTTTAGCATGAAGGAGTCAAATCGCTTGTACCACTGCCGAGGAGATTGTTTCAATCCATAAAGTGATCGCTTGTACCACTGCCGAGGAGATTGTTTCAATCCATAAAGTGATTTCCTCAAGCGACATACATGATTCTCCTTATCCTCAACCTTGTAACCCTCAGATCAATCCATAAAGTGATTTCCTCAAGCGACATACATGATTCTCCTTATCCTCAACCTTGTAACCCTCAGACTGATGCATATAGATTTCCTCCTCCATGTCTCCGTGCAAGAAGGTCGTTTTGACATCAAGTTGTTCCAACTCAAGATCACCATGAGCAACTGATGCAGCATAAACATGTACCAAAAAGGTTGCAAGTGCACAACCGTGTCAAGTTATAGTATAAAGATATCGATCCCACGAGGAAGGTGTTTTGTAGGAGAAAATATAAAATCGGTTCTTATGTTGTGTGCGTGACAAATAAGATTGATGAGTGAATGTGATTGTGAAGAGATTGAGAGAGTGAAAATGGTGTGTAAATAAGTGCAAAATGTAAGTGAGAGTGGAATTGAAAAAGAATGAGTATGATCAATAAGGTAAGAAGGAAAAATGAATAAAATCAAGAACAAAATAAAAAAAATCAAGAATGAAGAACAAAATTCTAGAATAAAAGAAAATACAAGAAATTAAGATGGTGGATTCAATTGTAGATATGAGTAATCTAAAATTGAACCCACTTCTTAGAAAAGGGTGATTCCCTAGAGGGTTCTAGCCTAAAGGCGAATCAAACAAAATAAAAATAAACAAAAAGAAAAACTAAACCGAAGAGGGTTCTAGCCTCAAGGTGAATAGTATAAGAAATTAAAATCTAACTACAAAATAAATTGTAAAATCTAAACTACAAAATAAAATTACAAGAATTAAATGCAAGAAAATAAATTTATTCTATAAGCATGAAATAAATCTAAGGCAAGAGGGTTCTAGCCTCTTGGCTATTTAACAAGAAAATAAAATCTAACTACAAGCATAGAAATAAATCTAAACTAATAAGCAATAAAAAAGAAATAAAAGAGAAAAAAAAGGAAGAAATGCAAACCTTCAAATAATTTTTCATCTTCATCTTTATCTTCATCATCCAACAAAGAGAAGAAGAAAAAAAATTTAAAGTGGTGAAAAAATTATTAATATTAATTGCAACAAAAAGTTATAATTTTGGAAGGCCTTCTCAATTAAGAGTAGCACTCCTCTTCAAAAGGAGTTACAAAAATTTTCACACCTCTAACCCCTCACTCTCTACCCCTATTTATAGTAAACATCAGTGAATGAGAGCCATTGGATTGAAATCTTATCCAAAAATAACAAATTTCAGCCTTAGATTCGTAACTAACTGCCCAGTATATCGATGCATCGATGCCTGCCCTTCTCCTTTTGCTGTCCGCAGATTCTTCTTGTTATTTGCTTTTGGGCTTTGGACATTGGCTTTTCTTAGACTCTTGGGCTTGGGCTTTGATTTATTTCTTCATTAAATACTTGAAAGAATTCATTGGGCTTCATGGCTTCATTTCTTCATTAAATCAAGGGCTTTTTGTTGAGAGATTGGAGTTTGAGATTTATTCTTCATTAACCTGTAATTAAAGATAAGAACAATTATTAGTAGTATATTTATTCATATAAAATAGATAATGAGGGTATAAAATTGTAATCAAATGTGATTATCAAATACCCCCACACCTAAACTTTTGCTAGTTCTCTAGCAAAGAAAGAAAACTGAAAGAAAACCTAACTCACTTTCGTAGGAATTGCGGTTGTATTTAGCGCATACAACAAGCCTTTAAACCCCTAGGTTACCCTAGTGGACGAGTTGTAGTCTCGTGAGGGTTTGCAGTGAATATACCCACAAAATTCGGTCAACTTGCCAAATTAAAGAAGTCAGTAAATAACTAAATTCACTTGATAACTTTTAGATAATCTAATTGGAGCCAGTTATCACTCAAGAAAACATTTTTATATATAACTCTAAGGTATATTTTTAAGAAAATCTTCTCATTGTAGCAATACAAAACCAAGCCAAACTTAGAAATTTAATTTAAAAGTTTTAAAAAGAACATGCTAACTCTTTGTTTTAAATAATTTTCAAGTTGCTTGATTTAAAATATTTTCCAAGACCATATATACAACTATAAAACATTTATTAGTTTTTTTAATAATTTTTTTACTCTTTCTTCCTTGGTGATTTTTTCTACTTTAACGGGCTTTCTAAGTGACCATTTAATGAGTTTTAGGCCAATGGATCCCAACCCAAATAGGCTTAGGTCATTAAGTATGGAAATACTCCTTGGGCTTAATTACTCGGTCAGCTTAGGCTTTATAAGATAGAATCACCTTGAATTCAAGAGTTTTTTTTTTGTGCCCATTTTTCGCACTCTTCTTTTGTAATTTTTTTTTTGTATATGTATATATATTTTGAAAAATATGTAAATCAAGACACTTTGAAAAATTATTTTCAACTCTAAGTTAGGCATGCAAAAATTTCATTATTTTAAATAAAAGTCCAAGTTAAGGCTTAAGTAAAGTATACTACTTTGAAAATCATTTCTTAAGAAATTTATTTAGAGTTATCATAAAAGATGAACTTAAGTAAATAACCAATTAGGGATTAGAAAATTTTAAATTTATCAAATAAATCAATTATTACATAACTCTATCAATTTGGCAAGTGACGATATTTTTATAATTTTTTAAAGAAAAAGGGGGAAAAAACAAAAATGTAACTAAAAATATAAAATAAAGAGAAAAAATAACTAATTCCCACCCCCACACCTAAATTTTGCATTGTCCTCAATGCAACTCTATGATGCATAAAGTAAAGCAGATAAGAAGTGAAGCACTTACATTTGGTCGGCTGATAAAAATCTGCAATTACCTTTTGTCTGAGGAGGATGAAATAAAAAAATTATTCTTTTTTTTCTTCTTTTTTTTCTTTTTTTTCTTCTTTTTTTTCTTTTTTTAACAACTGAACAAGAAACTCTCAAATGAGAGAAGAATAAATTCTTTTTATTATTCTGAAATAAACAAAATAAACAATGTAAAATAAAATATTCAACATGAAGAGCTCGTATTCTACATTGATTCCTGTTCTACATTGAATCCTACCTTACTGTTGAAAATTCTTCCCCGGATTTTAAACAAATTCAGAATGATATAATCAATAATGTGAATTTCCAAGCATTTCGGGGTGTTCAATAATTCTTGCACAAAGGTAAGGTAGGTATTATTGGTGTCATGCATTTTACATTTCTTAAAGAACTTAGACTCTTGTACTTTGAAGTTTTGTTTTCTAACAACCAATTCTTCTGTGAAGTTCTGAAAATTTGGTTGTTGATTATTCTTCAAGAATCTAAGTTCATCAAGAAAGAGTTCTTCAAAATTTAATTCAAAGCAGCACATGTTTAACACAGTTTTATTATTCTCAAGGACCTGATCTGCTTCTTCTAAAAACTCTAACTCTTCATCAAAAATTTCCTCAAAACTCAAATCAGACTCTTCTTCTTCTTCTTCTTCTCCTGATCTTTCCTGAATGTAATTTATTTCTAAGAATCTAAGTTCATCAAGAAAGAGTTCTTCAAAATTTAATTCAAAGCAGCACATGTTTAACACAGTTTTATTATTCTCAAGGACCTGATCTGCTTCTTCTAAAAACTCTAACTCTTCATCAAAATTTTTCTCAAAACTCAAATCAGACTCTTCTTCTTCTTCTTCTGATCTTTTCTGAATGTAGTTTATTTCTAGAGACTGATTATTTGGTTGGTCCCCTGGATTAAAAATGTTAAGATCAGCAGTCAAATTTCCAAAGGACAGCTTTATTTGACCAGTTCTACAGTTGATGAGAGCATTAGAAGTGGCTAAGAACGGTCGTCCTAAGATGACAGGTGTCTGTCCTTTGGGATTAGAAACAGGCTGTGTTTCCAAGACTACAAAATCTACTGGAAAAATAAAATCTCCAACCTTAATCAGAACATCCTCTAACTCACCCATAGGGACCTTGACAGATCTATCAGCCAACTGTAAGGTGCATTTGGTTGGGTTCAGTACACCTAGACCTAATTGCTGGTAGACTGAATATGGAAGCAAATTGACACTGGCCCCTAAGTCTAACAACGCCTTATCAATGTGAGTATTCCCAATGATACATGAAATGATGGGGGGAACCTGGATCTTTACGTTTCAAAGGTATGAGATTTGATAGCATTTTACTGATATTGGCGGCTAAAAAGACTTTCTTTGGAACATTTATTCACCTCTTCTTAGTGCACAATTCTTTTAAAAAT